TGGTGGTGGTGGGGCGACGTGCGGGGGCCAAAAAACTGAATTTTGAATTTTATTTTTTTTTTTTTTTTTTTTTAATAAAAGGATAATTTTGTATTTTACGGGTGCGGTACGTAGTAAAACGGGTGCGGTATTTAGCAATTCAGATAAAATAATGAAAGAGATAAATAGTACATTTGCATTAAATGTGAGGTGAACGCGCGGGGTCCAATAATATTGATTAACGGCTATGATGGACGCCTGTCTTGTCGACAATTATTGCGGCTTCTGGGGCGGCCTTTTCAAGGTATTTGTGTTAACCGATCACCTTGAATTCTTGTTCGACTCGGTAGCGGACGGACTCGGCACTTGGGGATCCGACCGACTTTTAAATGACCAGTCTTGTGTATGTATACTTATTTACAGTGTATTTTCGGCTCTTTGATTCATAGGCCATTTTTTATCATTTAATTAATCGAAGACAAATTGGGTATCAATAAGAGGCCCCTCGAGTTTAGGACATGTTCTGAATAGAATTGTTCTGAAGTCGCATTATTTTACAATTTGGCTGACTTTCGCTTGTAACCTTTTGAGCTTGGGGCTGTTCATGTTGCAATAAATAGCAGTGCGTGATGTACATGATCACCTCTTTATCTTATGAAGTGTACCGAATGGATATGTGTTCGATATACAATTCTGGGTGCTTTGGGACCCTCGGATGTCTTGTTGATCGTTTTTAGGCTTTGGCCTAACGTTTATATGTTAGTCGTGTTTTTTGCTCTTTGACGAGCTGAGTCGATGACATGGATAGACTATTCTTTGGAATTGCTATCTGAATGGCTGAATGGTCTTGTCAGGTAATTTGGTACCCAGTTTTGGCGTTTCATGAAGTACGAAGAGTTTGATCGATTTTGTTTTTTTGCGATAATAGTAATGGTATGAAATTTCGTGGGCGCTCTTGTGTTTCTAGCAATCTGAGTGAAGATGCTTGCTAATATGGTTTGTTTGGTGATTCTAAGTTGACCGTATTTGCGGTTTTTGTCACATTGGGATGACTCGAAAAATGATTTACGTAATCATTTTTAGTGTCGTATGTGGATCCGGTTGGATAACTCGGTACCGATCTTTAACCTTATTCTTATTTATGTATTGCTTGGTGGGTGACGTGGTGCCCGATCTATGACATGACGCTCATGGAGCGAGTCGAATTTTGGAAAGGTTATGCTCTTTGGGCGAGCTGAATGTTGGATAAGAGCCTAATGGCTCGGTCAGGTGATACTTAGGGCGTTTGGGCCCTTTTGAATATTTTTCGCGATTTGAGGCGCGTGCATTAATGGTATTTAACGACTTCATTTTATTTGCATTTTTAAGTACGACACTTCTGGGCCCTTTTAGTTTTAGGGCATTTCGGCCTTTTAGTTTTACCGCATTTCTGCCTTTTAGTTTTAGGGCATTTCAGCTGTTTTTCAATGCCAAGATGCATGTACGATGCATGTATGTGACGAATGCATGAATGTATGAGGAATCTATGAATGTGTGAAATGCATAATGAGCATGTCTATCGCGCGATAAATAATGTTACCTCGTCAATTTGTCGGGCTTGACTTTTTGTTGACTGTTATGACCGTCGGCTTTTTTTGCCTGTAGGTGTTGTGCCTTGCCGCAATGTCGGCCGGTGGGTGCTATGCCTTGCCAGAATGGACCCAAACCAAGAAAGGGGTTTGGTTAATTTTTGGGCACATTTGCCCTTCCCGAACCATGTAAGGAGTCCGGTTAACTTTTTTGGCACGTTTGGCCTTCCCGAACCACGTAAGAGGTCCTGTTGGAAATTTTTGGGCACTTTGGCCTTCCCGATCACCTTCAGGTGCTCGGGTTTTGGGCGTATCGCCTAGTCGAACGACCTTTAGGTGTTCAGTCAATGGGCACTTGGCCTTCCCGCCTCGCATAGGAGTTCGGGCTTTCCTAAGGAAGTGCGGACCCGATATATTGGGGGGT